GGGAGGACTGAGAGGCTAAACTGAAGAAAGGGGGACACAGGATCTAAGGGGACAGCAGGAGCTACTAGGAGTAGATAATGATGGACAGGAAAATTTGGGGGATGGGCTGGCGAGAAAAGAGAGATAGGACCAGACTAATGGAGGGGATGACGGCTGGTCCAGGACTGGGCAAGAAACTGAAATGACAATGGGGGATAGGGACTGAAGCGAAGATAGAACATGGGTGAATGAATGGGGGAGTTAGGGAACAGGAACAATGGGGAGACTCTTTCCCATACCACCTCAAAGATTCCCCACTTATTCCAAAGCCCCAGCTACGGCAAGAGCCCTCTCCCACCCCATCATAGCCAACCCCCTCTCATACTCTTTGGGTTCATTAAACAAGCCCTGTCTCCAACTTCTGAAGGGTACAAGGAAGGTCTTGCTTCCCCATGACTTTCCCCATTGCTAGAGAGAACGCTGTGAGGGAAATCAGTGACTTGTTGCCTTTGTGAAATGTCACCAAGCTGCACAAAAATCAGCAGCTACACCTTCGTGAAATATGCTTGATTTACAGATGTGTCCTAAAAAGGAACAAAATAAGTCAAAGCTATGTGAAATATCTCCTGCTTTCCCTTTAGCTCCCCTGTCCCCGTTCTTTCGAGAATTGACTGAGATTTCTTCAGCCCAGATTTCTCAGGGAAATCCCTTTTTGTTTCCAAAAATTACTTCTACAGCAGTTTCCCATAATGACACTAAGAGCAAAATTCTGCCTCGGGCCAGGGGGGATGGAAAGGGGAAAAACACTCCTGCCTTTACTGAGAATAATTTCAGATGCACAAACCCACATGCAGGTGCAATGCTCTTATTATCACAACTCAAGCAGCCTCCTCTTCACTTGAAAAACTTCACCTGCACCACACAAACCTCCAGCAGTGCTGGGTTTCCAGTTACAACAATACAGTGCTATTAAAAAAGGGACAAGTCATTACAAAAGCTAATAGGGAATCTCATGAAAGGGACCTAAATAGGAAACATTTTAAGTTTAAGGAATAAGAGAAAAGGCTGAAGACAAAGAGGTGTAAGACTATTTCTCTTAATAAAACCCTTCCACGTCATGTGAATCTGCCACAAAAACCACAGAACCCTTTAAAACAGCATCAGTCCACCTTTCCATAAAAAGACATTTCTCCTTCAAAGTTGCCCTAGGTATATACTTCAATATAATTCCAATTAATCAGCTGGAATTCTTCAGTTATGTTTCCATGCAAGCTAATAAACTTAAAATAATTAAAATCATAGGATGTCAATTACACAGCACTACAAGGAGATTCAAGGTATAACCAAGCCACTTCAAACATAATGAATTTACTAACCCTATTACAGTCCCAGCATTCCACCTCTTAACGCTCCCCAGTGAGAGACAGATCCTTTAGGGGACCAGGTGTATATCTTAGAAAGCAGATGGGTGGTAGCAGAGAAAAAACAGCTACTCGCTTGCCTCCTAATTCATTAACATGCAGCTAAGGGGAAAGATTATAAAAATTAGATGTGTATATATCCCTGGAAAGTGGAGGAGAAAGGGGAAGGGAGAAACCAATGATGTCAGTGTGACAGCTGTGGCAATTTCTTGCCATATCCTTGAGAAACCTTATTGAATTAAAGTTTATTTAACTTTGGGATTGTATTAAATGAATGGTTTAGGTACTATTGTGACTCATACATAGGATTGCATGAGTAGGGGTTCAAGGGACTATATTGAATAATGTGTCAGACAAGAATAGACTTTGGGAACAAAAAAGTGTTAAGTGGTTTTCCTGGGGAATATCTAGGGGGAAGTGAATGCAAATTCCCCAACTCTGGTTATGCAAAAACCCAGGCTTTTGAAGCTATGCCCTGAGGAGTGGGCCATTGTCTGCAGAGCACCTTTTACATGAGGCCAAGATCAAAGGCCTAAACTGTATGAAGGAAATACTGAACTATTCATGGTTGTTCTGGTTCTGAATCTGAGACAGTGATGAACTTGTAACCACAGGGATAACCCAGTTGACACCTACCCAAGCCAGAAGTTGGAGTTGGGTTGACCTCCAGGTAAGCTTGTTCTCATGCATATTGTTTTAATATGTTTCCTCTGTCATGCTTTCCCCTCAAGAATAAATGTGTTTACTTATAAAGAAATATGTACTGACTTGTAACTGTGGGTATAACCCCTGGAGAGAAAGCAAAGCACAGATGGTGGCCTTTTAGGCCATCTAGCTTAGTAGGGATATCACAGTGTAGTCAGGGAAGTGTGCAGCCTAGAGGCAACATGATAACGAAGGAGAGAGATGTGGGTCTCTGCACAATGTCTAGGAGCCGGAAGCCTAAAGTGGATGCCCTTAATGGCCCACATGGGGAATACCGGTGCAGTTACTCTGAACTGTGACAGTTGGCCTACATGTTTTTGAAGGGTAAGAATACTAAGGAAACAGAAAGAGAGGGTGCTTGTTGTATATGGGAAGTGTAGGCATTGTGAGATGCAATGGGATGATGTTAAGAAGAGAAACATTTAGGCTGATTAGTGAAATAAATAAGTTTCCTGATAATGAGATGGATTGATATAGGAGGTTGTGTACCAAGAAAAGTGCAAATCTCCTCACTTAAAATGCACAAAATGCTACAGTGCACACTATAAAGAAGATAAAGTGACCAAGTAGAAATGAGCATTAGTGAACTGCAACATGAATACTCCCAGGGCCAGGAAAGAGAAAAAACAGAGATTAGGGAAGATGTAAAGGTGGTATCTGTCTGGAATATGGCCGCTCCACCTGGAGCTCCTTCCTGCAGCAGGCAGTGGCATGACAGGCATGTCTGCCTCAGTTTCCCCTCTCAGGTTATTCTGTAACTTCACTTTGGGTATCTTTGCCTCAATACTAGCCTTCCTTGGGCTCATTTATTACAATAACTGTGGTTAGATGTTCGGCTCTGTGTGTGTTCTCCCTGTGTGCAGTCCCAGCTCTGCGCAGACAGTTGGCCTCAAACAAACCTCCCAATGACCACAAAATCCATGAAGGTACGAAGGCACCCACCCACGTTCATTGTCGACGAAGCACAGTACTAGTATCCTGCAGACTCTACTGGACCACTAATTCATGTATGCCAGTGACAATAGATGCAGCTCAGTCACTGGCGGGACTTTCCATTGTCCCCTAAGCTGGCCAAAGACACTCCCTCTGAGATACATCTTTATACACCAATACAAACAAGTTACATATTGCCCCTGATGTATCAGGGTGCCACCCTCTGACGTATTAGGGTGCCACCTATTGCCTTGTACATGTTGGTTTGAGCAAAACATCTCTATCCATCATGCTGTCTCCTGACCTTATCTTTAGGATGGGTCCGTGAGTTGCTGTTATCTTTGGAGAATGTGCTGGTATCGAGGTATTCTCGTACCACCCTTCTGGAATGTGCTTGCGTGAGTGCTCTATGCCCAGCACCTCTGTGCTTGCCAAATTCTGTGAGCAGGGCCTGCCTCTTGCTCACAACTTAACCTTGATTTGTGGTAGCAAGTTTAGACCACTACTTTAGCCCTGGCTTTAGGTCTCATACCAGGCCTCTGATACAAGGCCTTATGTTTCAGGCCCTCTTCTTACTACAACAACATCATCCAAATAGTCCATAACAAGAGTCCAAGACATAATCCATTTTTTACCCGAGTGCAGTAGTCAATAAAACTCAAGACATCTCATCCCTCAATGCCCCACATACCACACACCTATAATTTTGACCAAACCCAGCCAGCCCTCCAAACTGGACTATAGTCCTGCTGTTCCTAGTAGAACCACCACAGCCTCTCTGCTGGGAGCATTATTGGCAGGGGAGCATCCCTCACTCTTCTGGCCCTCTCATGGTTCCTCTGGGTCCACTTCTCTGGCTCTGGAGATGTCAGCAGGTAAGCTCCTCTGCTGCTCCCCTGCCTTCAGCCCTCTCTGGCCCTTGGCTCCAGCTCAGGGCCTGCAGGCAACTCCCTCTGCTTCTGCCACCACCTTCAGCCTTAACTCTCTTATTTGTGGACACCAGCCAGGAAACCTGTCTTGCTGCTCTCCTGTCTTCAGCTTTTGCCCCAGGAACTGCCTTCTGCTTTCTTCCAGGACACCTCCAGTCCCCTGGACTCTGGCAGCAATCAACTGCCTTTCCTGTTTGAAGCACTTTGTTCTGACTTACTGGAACTCCTCATTAGATCTGTATAGCCCTGTTCCTGTATAGCCTTCAGGTGCTGCTCCACCCTCTTAATTGACCAAATGGGAGAACCTGTTCTGGCACAAGGGCACTGGGCTTACTTCATTTACTGGAGCCAGCCATTCTGAGAACACTTATTCTGATCTCTTGATCCATAAACCACTAAGTTGGGCTTATTCTAGTTACTGAGGTGGGGTTTAGCTCACCAGAGCTAAATGGAGTCCTTTTGTTGTAGAATTCTCTTAGGCCTTGCCTTTGTGGGAATTTTTTTTTCGTTATAACCTACATGTGACTTTAAACCAATATAGTTCTACCAGTATAATCCCCCTGTGTGGACTCTTTTATTCTGGTATAAAAGAGCCTTTTTTTGTTTAGTATATATCACTTGGGAATGGATTTAAGTTATACTAAAAAAGCTACTCTTCCACCAGAATAGGAGTGTTCACCCAGGGTTATACCAGTATAACTATTGATATAGCCTGGAAAACTTTCCCATGTAGACCAGACTTTAGTAATTTGTACTGTTCTCTGCACCAGTCCATTCCCTTGGGTTAGGAATATGTTTGAAATTATAATGTTTCTTAAAAGCTTTGAATTCAAAACTTTCAAACTGTGGTCTGTTTCAGTGAGTATTTATTTGTAAATGCCAAAATAAGAACAGTTGCCTGTTAATTTGTTTATTGCTTGTTAAATTGTCTGAGTCTAGTTAGAAGTAGAATTTCTACAGATTTAGAAGAAGATGGCTATATTTTTTGTATATTCTTTTTCTACTCATGGGTCAAGTGTTATTCTTTTTCAAGGTGTCTCAAATAATGATGTCAGTATGAGAGGTTCACTGAGTTTTGTCTTTCTAGTCATTCTGCGAGACTCAGATGATTCCACCTTTCTACTGATGTTAGACCATCGCAGTTTGCTAGTCAGCCTCAGTGTGTGCGAGGATAGCACAGTCGTCAGTATACTGAAGGTTGGTAATAATCTGGTGACCTTAGTTTTAGAATGAAGATGCCACAGGCTGAAGAGCTGGCCATCCATGCAATACTCAATCCAAATTCTAGAAGGAGAGTATAGAATAAGAATCCAGATCACAGAAAGATAGATAGAAAAAAAGGTTGAGGCAATAACACAGTCCTGATTAACACCAGTACAGATAGTGAATGGGCTCATCTTCTCCCCATTACAGAACACAGTGGAGGTCATCCCATCATCAAGTAGCCTAAGAATGCAAATGAACTTCAATGGACAACTGAACCTAGACATCACCGTCCATAACACTTCATGACTGATGGAATCAAATTCCTTAGTTAGGTCAATAAATGCCATAAGCAATGGCTGGTGTTGTTCTCTACACTTCTCTTGGATCTGTGGTGCAACAAAAATCATGTTGGTGGTGCCCCGAAATGGCCTGAAACCACATTGGGATTCCGTAAGGACGTCTACGACAAGAGGAAGAAGACAGTTCATAAGGACATGAGCAAGGATCTTCCCGGCAATGGAAAGGAGGGCAATGCCTCGGTAATTCCCCACATATTGACTTGTCCCCTTTCTTAAAAATGGTCACAATATTAGCATTCTTTAAGCTGGGTGGAATTTCCTCATTAACCCAAATGCTAACAAGCCTGATGAAGTTTTGCATCAGTGCTATTCCACCAGCTTTGAAAACTTCCATGGGGATACTATCTGGGCATGGAACCTTGTTATTTCTAGTCTGAGTGATGGCATGCCAAGCTTTCTCAGAAGATGGGGTATCAGCAAGAGATTCTACTACTGGATACTGAGGAATGGACTCGATGGTGGCAGCTGAGACTTCAGCTCCCATTGGCGTGGAGCGGCGAACCGTGGCCACTAGGAGCTGCGATTGACCGAGCCCGTGGACGTGGCTGGTAAACAAACCAGCCCGGCCCGCCAGGGGCTTTCCCTGAACAAGTGGCAGCCCTAGTTTGAGAACCACTGGTCTACAATATAACTGTGATAAGCACTCAGACTCTCAGCTTCAGAGAGTTCCTCTCTCATTTCATGGAAGTCACAGGCTGAATTTGGGAAATCCAATAAATAATTTGGCCAAAGATATCTATTAATAATTTGGATGTAGTTTGAAGATGTTTTACAACACAGAGACATTCAGGAAAGTTAATTTGAATGAACTTTTAAAGTGGATTAGTAAAACTAAATTTAACCCCCCCTTTCCACATTTAAATCCTTAATTCATTTCATACGTGAATTAAGCTATATCAAATTAAGACCACTTCAATTCTGAATAAGAGTGTTCACATGAGTTTTACGTGATTTAATTAATGCACTTTAACTTTAAATTCACATTTTAGTTAATTTGGATTAATTTTCCTAAGTGCTCGATTAGAGAAGACTTGAGTAAGAAATTTTATTTGAATAAGCAAAGTAGTATGATCCCTGAAGCCTCTCTCTTTCTTTGTTTTACTATAGAAGATCCTTCTCCAGCCCACATGGCCTAGCTTCCTTCTACAGTGTATATATCCTCAACAGAGTATGGAATAATATACCATCCAACTCAGGCTGATAGTCACATATTTGAAAATTGAGGTCTAATGATTTTTGCACATATATAGAACTTTTCATCTGTAGATCTATTTCAAAGTGCTTCACAAAGCTGGGTAAAAATTATTATCTCCATTTTACAAATGGGAAAACTAAGGTAAAGAGGGGTTAAGTCACGTGTCTAGGACTGGCCAATGAGTCACTGGCAGAACTGGAAAGAGAATGTGGGTCTCCTAACTCCCAACCACAGATCTCTGCCACAGACATTCTACATCACACCATGAAAGTCATGTAACCTCTCTGCTGTGCCAAGGTACACCAACTAAGGACCTAGCCCTAAAAATAACTATAATTTTTCATCTCACCTCAGTCCCTTGTTGCATTATCAGCTGAGAGTACTTTGTGCTGATTGCTATAAATGTTCTAAACCGATTCAATTATGTGAGTAGGAGGATCTGTATCAAGTGTTGCCTTCCATATTTACAGATGACCTCAAGAACCAGAAAAGCTTTCCAATGATCAATAAAGCTTATTTAAAGTCACTGATTGAACACTTTTCCATCCAAGAGATTTAAATTAAATATTGTAACCTGAGTTAATAATAATAATTCTGTCTGCTCAAGATTCAAGAGTTTCCAAATAAGAGTCACATTAATGCAATGGCTGTAACTAAGACTGAAAAAAAATCACTACTAATATCTGCCCAGAACTGAAATGGATGGGAAACCTCGGGGTTGGGAGATTGCAAAAGGTCTAGATCAGGGGTGGGCAAACTACGGTCCGTGGGCCACATCCATACTGTCAGACTTTTAATCCAGCCCTTGACCTCCCACTGGGGAGCGGGGTCAGGGGGCTTCCTCCGCTCCAGCGCTCTAGCTGAGGAGCAGGGTCGGGGTCTTCACACGGCTGTCGGAAGCAGCGGCATGCCCCCGCTCTGGCTCCTACACGTAGGGGCAGCCAGGTGGCTCCGCATGCTGCCCCCGCCCCAAGTGTCGCAAGCGCCCCAAGTGCTGCCCCCGCAGCTCCCATTGCCCCCGTGGACAGGGCAGAGTGCAGATCCGCCTGGCTGTGCCACCACATAGGAGCCAGAGGGGGAACATGCTGCTCCTTCTGGGAGCTGCTTGGGGTAAGCACTGCCTGAAGCCTGCATCCCTGACCTCCTCCTGCACCCCAATCCCCTGCCCAGCCCTGATCCCCCTCCCACAGATCCCCTCTCCCCATACTCCCCCCCTCTGAACCCCTCAATCCCAGTCTGGATCACCCCCCTGCACCCAACCCCCCTCATCCCCAGCTCCACCCCAGAGCCCGCACCCCCTGCCAGAGCCCTCACCACCCCACACACACTCCAACCCCCTGCCCCAGCGCAGAGCCCCTTCCTGCACCCTGAACTCCTCATTTCTGGCCCCACCCCAGAGCCCACACCCCCAGCCTGAGCCCTCACCCCCTCCCACACCCAACCCCCAATTTCGTGAGCATTCATGGCCTACCATACAATTTCCATACCCAGATGTGGCTCTCAGGCCAAAAAGTTTGCCCACCCCTCGTCTAGATAATACTTAGTCCTGCCATGACAGCAGGGGTCTGAACTAGATGACCACTCAAGGTTCCTTCCAGTCCTTTGATTCTATGATTGCCTAAATAACATAAAGCTCTGGGAATTTTACATGTGTGTGTGTGTTTTCCAGAGATATAATCACAACATAAACATTTTAATAGGTGTTCATGGAGAAATGCATATCTAAAATGTAGGAAAACTTTTGTTCATAGTCAACAGGTTTATTAATGCCTTTAGTTTATTTATATCTTTAAAATAATAAAAATCCCTCAAATCCCTGATAATTTGTGCACATAGCCAGTCTCCATAACTCCCTCTGACTATTAACCTTGTGCTCCTTTCTTTAGTCCCTATCCTTGTTGGTTACACAAACTGGTTGTGCCTTGGTATGATGTGTCTTTCTTAATTTGCAAAAGTGGTGAGTTTAAAATATATCAATGTTTTCTTCTTAATTTCTTCATAACATTTAGTATCTCAGTACAAAATAGTTCACAACACTTAATTCTTTTTCCCAGCCCTGCTCATGAGCACAGTCTGATAATTCAGAAGCTACATACATTTAGAAATGGTAGGTAGGATGATCATACCTGGAACTTTCAGAAGCATGGGAGAGATTCTGTACTGCATGTGTCACAGCCGCACCCCAGGGGTTGGGTGCTAATCCAGAGAGGCTCCTGGGATAGACTAAGGTAGACTCTACACTTCAATTTAAGGTGTAATTGTGACAATAGCAATAAAGATCCAATGGTACAGGTTTTAAAATGGGCTCGCAGCCTGAGTACATACCCAGAGTCCATGGCAGGCTGATACTTGGGTCGTTAGCCCACTGCTGCCACATCTTCACTGCTAGAGCACTATTAAAGCACTCGCTAGATTAAAGCTATCATGGGTGTACCTAGCCATGCTACAATTACACCTTAAATTGCAGAGTAGACGTACCTTGACACAGCCCGGAGAGTGACAGCAGTCTCCCCGACTTGTCCTATAGGCCACTTCATTTCTCATAATCATTGCTGTGCTGTGCTCCCCGCAGGCCATGTCATTTCATTTCTGCCCCCAGCATGCCTCCTGTGCTGGGCTTTGTGAGGCAGTCCTTGGAAGAGAGCCTTGTGGCTGTCTCTGCAGTACCTGGCCTGGGAAAATTCTTCCCTGTATGGAACTGAAGCTGTTAGGAGCACTTTACACTGTTCTGGCATTTTACCCAGCATAAAGGAGACGAGTGGGGGGTGAGTATCTCACCCCATATGTATAAGGCTCCTACTGCTGGCGTTAACAATCTATTAACTTCTTCCCCTTTGCTTGTAAATTTCTAAATATTGCTCACCTACCTGCTGAGGAATGCATACTCAGCCCAGCCTGTAAAATATTATGAAGGTATTTGGATATTTGTTCTCTTAACTGCTTACAGAATTTCCTGAAAGCAAATGGACTAACACAACTGATTTCAGTCAACAAAAAATCCAGAACTGCCTTCTTGCGAGTGCATGAGTATGAAGGGGAGCTGTGTGCACATGCCTGTGGACCAAATTTAGTGCAAAGCATTAGAGTGGTGCTAGTGCTAGAAAAGACCATTTGAATTTGGCAGCAAAATTTAATTTGTATGAAGTGTTTTTGGCACCTGAAAAATAATACTTGTCTTAGAGTCACATTTTTGGCATGGAGAGGACTGTGGGGAGCAGTCAGGTAGCCAGTTACGGCTCTGTGATTCTTTGTCCAGCCCCAGCACAGGATAGATTATTCTTGGGCTGCTCTAACCTGCGTGAGCTGACAACAATCCCCAGATGACTGTCTGCCTGCTGAGGATAGCTGGAGTGCAGCATGATCTGTCCAAACTTTCTTTTTATTCCCTGTGCCAGGAGGCTGCAGGACAGGACGGTGTAGGTGCTGGTTTTCCTGCTTTATGGCAAGGGGACACTCCCCCATGCCAGATAAATTCCCATCAGGGGAAATTGGGACAGGTTCCATCCTCTTCGCACTTCCAGGGTGGCAGAAAGGAGTGGAATGAAGGAAGGATTCTCCCCCGGCCCCCCATAAAATGCTGACTGAACTGATGTAGTTGATCCATTAGCAAGAAAATATTATTTGTAAACACAGAAGGATAATTACAAACCAATCTTCTTATACCAGCTGCATGGGAACTGGAATTTCCATTTCACAGGAAATACTGAAATTTCAAAATTTGTTTTCATTCTGACTTGGAATGAAACTTCAAT